TATCCCTTGTCGATGTGGTCGCACACAAAATCGTAACGCAGGTCGATATGTTTCGCTCGCGGTGAGTAGCCCGTGTTCTTCGCGATGCTGATCGCTGACCTGTTGTCAATGTAGATAGTCGTTGCGCTAATTACCTTCAAGTTCATCTCCTTCAGTAAGTGACGTAGCCAAAGTACTTCTTGGACGGCAAGTGAGAGTGCCATATATTCAGCTTCTGCGGACAAAAGAGCTACCGTCTGCTGTCGCTTGCTCCTGAAAATCACCGGTCCTCCAGCCATCAAGATGAGGACGCCAGACGTGGAGCGACGAGTCGCAAGATCACCACCCCAGTTTGCATCTGTGTACGTCGCAATGGTGCACCCTTTTGATGTCGTTCGTGAGTATCTGATACTCAAGCGTGGTGTGGCCTTCAGATAGCGCAGGACTCGCACTGCAGCGCGCCAATGGAGTGCTTGGGGGTTCGCCTCGTAGCGAGAAAGCTCGTGAACTGCCACGCAAATGTCAGGGCGCTTAGCATTTGCCACGTAAAGTAACGAACCTGTTAACTCACGGTACGGTGCGTTCGACTTGTTGTCACTGCTGTTGGTATCAGGACGCAAATCTTGACCAGGAATGCAGGGGTTTCGCATTGGATAGGCTTCGTGTTGCCCGAACTTGGTAATCATCCGTTGCATAAATTGTTCTTGGCTGAGAAGAAGTGTTCCATTGTCGCGATCATAGTGCACCTGAATCCCCAGAATGAATTACGCGTCGCCAAGTGTCTTGACCGTGAAGTGCTCGGCCAGTTTCTTCGTGACTTCTTCGTCGATTTCATCGTTCTTACATCCAATTAAGAGGTCGTCCACGTAGAGAACAATGAAAACAGGTCCATCTTCTCCGCTCTCCTTCACGAACAGGCAAACGTCAGCACCGCACTGCTGGAATCCCATTCTCAAAAACACCTCGCGGATCTTCTTGTACCAGACAGCTGCGGCTTGCTTCAGCCCGTATAAACTGCGTCGTAGACGACACACCATGCCGTCGCTGGTCTTGATCCCGGACGGTACAGCCATGTAAACTTCTTCTTCTAGGTCTCTGTTCAAGAAAGCCGTTTCGATGTCGTACTGCTTTACCACGTAGTTTCTCGAGCAGCACACTGCAAGAAACACACGAACAGTGTTCAGACTGGCAATCGGAGAGTATGTCTCACTGTAGTCAATTCTGTAGGTCTGCAAAAATCCCAGATCAACCAGACGCGCCTTGTAACGAGCGATATTGCCGTGCTCATCGCGTTTAAGGGCAAATACCCATTTACATCCGATCACCTTCGCTCCATGTGGTCAACGTACGAGATCCCAAGTGTGATTTCTCACATGTGAACGGATTTCAGCGCGAACTGCTTCCCTCAATTTGTCGGCATCCGGCGAGCGAATAGCTTCAGCATAGGAAGTAGGAACACCTTCAGCAGCGGCGAGAGCGATTTCATAACTTCCCAGTCGTAGACGCTTTGGGTCAGGCTCGTCGGACTCGTCTTCAGGATCAGTAGGTGGGGGAAGCGCCGGTAGCTCTTGTACGTCACTGTTGACCAATTCACGCAGACCAGGGGCCAGGTAGCTGTCATCTTGGTCATCATGCCGTGGTACACCACTCGGTCCAGGAAGTAGCAGTGCTTCTTGAGATGAAGAGCCGTTCGTTAGAAGTTGCTGTCGTTCCGTAGTCAGATTTCGTGGATGGTTCCGCACTACAAGTTGCTTGCCCGGAGACCTCGGATGATGAAAACTCGCAACTGAGTTCGACTGCCGCTGTACCAAGCAGCCCAGATTCGAGCGGTTACCCAGTAAAGGTTGATCCGGTGGCATCGTCATATCATTTCCCCCCTAAACTGCGACTGATCTTGGGTTGCTAGCACAGGGCGCACGCTCACTTGGCTCGGGCCACTCAGTGTCAACGCCCGATTCTCATCCTCGCTGTCCACTCGCATAGGCTCCGCAGGCGTTCCATCACAGTCAATCTCCATATCAGCGGTATCATCACTATCTCGAGGTATAGGTGGAGAAATCGGCGAATGAGAGCATTCATCCCAGTTGTAGTTGACCATGTTAGGAGCTTCAGTGCGGCACTGATGGCTTCTGTACTCGCTAGGCGGTCGCTCGCCCAGTACTATCGTGCGTGTTACCACTAGTCTTTCGTCCTCGAGATCCCAGACCCGATACGTCTTCGAGGCATCGGTGTGTAGCCGAGGAAAATACAGCGATGTGCTTTGCGGTCCCACTTGGATCGCTTGGACTGATCAATGTGCACGTAACCTTGCGCGCCAAAAACTCGAAGGTGGCCCAACCTTGGCTTAACGCCAAACCAATTCTCAAATGGAGTACTTGCTGGCCTCGCACTGTTGGGGATACGATTGATGATGTACGTCGCGGTCACAACCGCTTCACCCCACCAGCAAGTTTCGAGCTGCATATGGTGCAACATCGAGCGCGCCATTTCCACGATGGTGCGATTCATTCGCTCCGCTAGTCCATTCTGTTGAGTACTATAGGGTGCTGTTGTCAGGTGCACAATCCCTTGGTTGAAGCAGAAGCTTGTAAACTGTTTGGACGTGTACTCCCCTCCGTTATCCGTCCGGATGCACTTGACCTTCCGCTGAAGCTGTGTCTCAGCCAATTGTTTGAAACGGACGAAGTGTTAAATCACCTCCGCCTTGGAGTTGAGGAGATACACGTGCACATACCGAGAGAAATCATCGACAAAAGTTACAACAAACCGCGCCCCCCCTTTTTGTCCGCGTCTGCATTGGCCCCATTACGTCGCTGTTAATAACCTCAAGAGGGGCTCGGGTCTTCACTCGGCTGGAACTTTGTCTTGCAAATGGACTCACCGTCATCTTCCCTTGTGCACATCCATCACAAAGCCCGCGATTGTCCTGGAGGAGAGCAGAAACACCTTCGACGGCCTTCCAAATAGCGTCCAGTAGCTGCTGGGCCACGTGCCCGAGCCGCGCGTGCCACAAGACTGCGTCCGCAGGTCTTGCCATCATTGCTGTGGCCGTCTCTTCATATCCAGCAGCATGCTGAACTTGAACATCCCACGCGTAGAGCTTACCAATCTTCGGCACCAGAGCCAATGTTCCCCCGCCGAATCTGATCGTACATCCACTTGCACTAAACGGTTCTGTGCGGCGAGAGCTGGAATTGATAATAACTTGCGATCTAATCCAGGGACATACAAAACATCCGTAATCTTGATCAAACGCCCATTTACACGGAAACGCACTGCACCGACTCCTTGAGCAGGAAGCGACTGTCCGCTCGCTACCGTAATGTTCAAATTCCCGTTTAAGCCCCTGTACTCGCAGAACTCCACCATTGTGTTGTCATGTGCGAACTGGCCCCACTGTCCAGAAGCCACTCACTTCTCCAAGTAGTGGCTGACGCAGAGAACACAACTTCATTATCGTCATCATCTTTCTTCAGCTTGAGGCAATCATTGCGCCTGTGACCGATCTCGTCACACTCGAATCATCGGCCCTTGAACCCGTGGTCACTCCGTTGCCTCTTCCCAGACTACGAGTTCCGGCCTCCGTGCCGGTTATTCTGTCGATCTTGGTTCCCACGGCCGCCACTCGCTCTGCGGTCGTCACGTCGTCGTTGTCTCTGCTGGCCCTTCGTACCACTGGTACCAGCTCGAAAGGCACTTTCTTGCTTCTCGCGTCGCTGCAGCGACTCATATTCGCGGCGTAGCATCTCCTTAGCCTCCAAGAGTGAAACCGAACCCTTGGACTCAATAATCTTCACCATGTTGTCATACTCAGCGGACAGACTGCCGAGTAGCACAACTAACTTTTCGTCCTCTCGATCTTGTCTCCAGCAGCGCTGAGACGCAAACAAAGATCATCAGACCTCATCAGGGGCTCCATGAGATTGTCCCCCGTGGACATGCGGAAGTCGTGGAGCTGTCTGCGAAGCTGGGCTCGATTGTGGAGATTCTGTCGGACAAAGAAATCCCGCAGCGTCTCCCACGCTTCCAACGCCGAGGTAGCCTCGCGTATCATCGTCTGGTAGTTGGGACTTAGCAACTTGCTAAGAACAGCCAAAGCCTTTAAATCGGCGGCTTTCCGCTGGTCGGTTTCCCGCGCCATCGCCTGCTCTGGCTTTGCTACCAGTACGTGGTCGAGTAAGTCCTTGCGTGCCAACGTCATGCGTGCATTAAGCTCCCATAGGAAGTAGTTATCATCCTGGAGGATGTCATTCGGCCCCAGCGTCTTTGGGCTCATTACCTGAAAGTAGGTAGGACCCGTTACTCGATGTAGTTTTGTCTTCAGCTGTGTAATTTGGAAAGTGAGAATTCTTCTGTAGCTTAAATTTACTCCTAGTGCTAAGCTTCCTACGTCCTAGAACCTTCAACTGTTCTGGATCATTCGTTGACCAACATTCGGGAGCAAGTTGCCTTTGTGTGATGTACACAATTTAGTGACTGACATCCTAACACTCCCCACCTTGCTTGTAAGGAAAAATCACCACAAATCTTCGCATGCTTGCATTTTTAATGGACATAATTCTTTTTACCACGTAAAAGCTGCAAAGTTTGCTAGCATTTTATATAGCAATGGAACTTTTTACAACTGTTGCACTGAGGCTGTGATTTACGGTACTGTATTCGCACCAGAATCGTAGAGTCAATTCTGTGTCAAACAAGGTGAGACAATAGTGATTCAAATGGTTTTCAACACAAAGTCCTTTATAAAAATATCGAGGATGGCGCGCACGGGTCGGATCGTACCCATGTTACCCGTACGCTTTCGATCTGGAGGCAAAAGGCTAAGCGTAGCATTGTCGTGTTTAGTCTACTGCATTTGCTTGCAGGCGCAAAAAAACACTCGGAGGATTGGTGCCCGTTCAGTACGCTCCCAAGCGTACCCTCAGATCGGGTTGTAGTACAATTCTCGGGTTTTTCGGGTAAAAGACAATGATATTTGCCAGTTCGTACGAGAGTGTACGTCCATCCTTCAAATAGTAACGCTACACCTTGTTCATTTTCTCCAGTTCCTTCAAGTAGAATTGGTAAAATCGGTCGCTTGAGAGCTTCTGTTGGTTCGCGTGCTCCAAATTCAAAAACTCCTTCACGTACGCTTTTGGTCTTTTAGTTGTCACCCAAATCTGTATCCTTGCCATCTTTTCCAACGGCGTGGCGTTCTTGTCGAAAAAGATGGCAGGCCGGTCGCTACTGTATAGATTAATTTGGTAGTCGTCAAACGCAACAGCGTACTCCTCGTACTTTTTAAATGCTCTTGTTCCCCGGATCTTCTCGAGTTGAGCTCGAATTGCATCGTCTGGTACCTCTTTCCACAATGTGGTCTTTGGGTCGAATGCTGTCTTTTTATTGAGACCCACGTCATTCCATACAGTATACGTGCTTTTGTCTTGGCGGACATCTCTCCAAATTATGTTTTCGCGTAGGTTTTTTGCATAATTCTGTAGGCGCTTGTAGTTCTTGTGGGACGAAAGTTCAGCTCCGGTCAAACCTTTCATTCCCAGCTTCTCCTGGACGTAGTCGACAGACTTGTATCGCTCGAGCCACACGGTAGTTTTCACGAACAGAGAGATCTTCTTGCGAGCCTTGGACAAAAATGAGGATATCGAATTAGCCCTCTCATCCTCACCTGGCGAACCTTCGACGTTATCGATCTCGTTGTTTGTCTTGGCAGCTCGCAGAATTCTCCCATCGTTCCTGTCACCACGGCCTGCGACTTTTACCTGCTCTATGAGTGAAACGCCGGCTCCAGTCACCTTAAGAACACTGTTCATGACCAGAACAGTGACTAGTGTCATTAGAAAAATGCGGCGGAGATGCATGAGCGAGTCCGTTGGAGTATAAGCGGCGTCAATTCCGAATGAGGGGCAAATTCCGAACTGGCAGAATGGTGCTACGGTTGCCACTGAAGATATGCCGTAAACGCTCACAGGTGTTTGCGAATAAAAGCTCATGACACCCACGCATTTGTTCAGAGGTAGGCACCATCGTGTTATTCGGTAGCTCCACAACAAAATCATTTAAAACGGCAATCGTCAAGATAGGTTGGGCATGTGATGAAACCGCATCTTTTACTTACCAGTAGTGA